AAACCAACTAACCAACCAAACAAAAAAAAACAGTCTCCAAATTATAAACAACTCCATAGTCTACCAAGAAAGGAGACGGCACACCCCAAAGTAGGCAGAGGAAGAGTTCTGTTCTTCGTTCTAACTAGGTATGAGTTATGACCTCTACAGAGGGATGTGAAGTAATGCTAGCTGTGGCACATAATTGGCAAGGTACGTTGTATTTTCCATCTTTATATTTTCACAATCATATTTCAGCTCATGTCACTGCAGATAACTCCCTCTTTGACCCTTTGGCTTTAAATAGCAGAAAATATAACCCAGGTTTTCAGGTGAGATAAATAGAAATTTGTCTTTTTCATTTCACAGCTCAGTCAATTTATGAGAGGGGCCAAGCTGTTTAGCAACATGCTTAGATCCTGAGAGGTACCAAATGGCTGAGCACTTGTTGCCTTCCTGAAATCAAATCTGCTCTGTATCTTGCAGGCTTACACCCTGTTTCTGATGCTCCACAAAGTTATTTTGCTTCTTCTTAAATCCAAGTTCTCATTTGTAATCAACATGAACAAAGTTTTTAATAAATTGTGACATTTTCAGATTAAATGTAAAAAATTTAAGGTGGCTGAATTAATACCAGGATGCAGAGCCCTCCTTGCAGCCAGTACACAGGTGCTTGCTGACCAGCCAAAGCCCAATCCTGCCAACACTTAAACACAAGAGCAAAGATGTTCACGTGATTGCTTGCAGGATTAATGCTCCAAGCTATGTATGAGTTCCATATAGTTATGTTCAGTGACAGGGGAGCCACCTGTGCTGGTAATATTTATGTTTTCACTCACTTGTGATAATCTTCACCCTTGCCCTCTGACACCCCGTGGTGGTGGCTGACAGTGCAGATCTCAGTGAGAGCACTTGGGATTGCCTTGTGCTACCCAGTGCAGGGGCTAAAGACAGGACTCAGTGCTGTGAAGGGCAATTTGCATGGGAAGAATGGAGTTGCAGAGCTGCAGGAAGTCAGGGATGCCAAGCTACCCACCATCAAAGCAAACAGAGCTGCAATGCACTGCTCCATGGGGGAGTGGGCATTTTTTTTTTTTTTTTTTCCCATGGACACAATGCATACATTATGTAAGTCCAGAAAAAATAGAAAGAGCAGGGAGATATTTGTGTCTGACCCGCCAAGAAAAGCCTTTGTGTTCGTCCAGCACTGAAGCACTTGTTTGGACTGGTCTGGATGGAGGAGCAGAGCCAGGCAGTTGTCAGTGCCCACACCCTACGGCCCAGCCAAGTGCTGAAGGTGGCACTGGTGGCTTGGGAGCAGGGGTGCCACTGCCCTGCCAGCCCCAGCGCATCTGCACCGAGCTTGAACATCACTTCTGCTAGCCCAGTGCTTATACCTGGGCACGCTGCCGTGGTTGGAAAGCCCTGTTGGATCCCCAGCCTTGTAAATAAAGGGAGCAGGCTTTGAGAGCCTGCCAGCTCCTGTTCCGATGTCCCTAATGCTTGGAGTTCAGCTCAGGGCTGTGCTCAGCCTCTGCTCAGTTCAGACTATGGAAAGGCCGTGTTGTTTAGGAGCTGAAGGCACAGCTCTCACAGATGGGTTTGGGGATCCCCTTGTTCCTCTTTGCTTTCTCTGTCTTTTCATCAGGTGCTGCAAGGCTGACGCTAGAGGTGTGATACTGCCCAGCACTTGGGGAGTATCAGCAGGGTTCACCCTGCAGACAGCAGTACAATGGAAGGGGCACCTGTAAATGAGTTGCACCTCCATCAAATACCAGGGGAAGTACACATCACAGTTCTCACACAGGTGTAGCCACCTCTCACCTTCCTCCACAGCTCCTTTACATCCCAGGCAGCCATCCTGCTTCCTTCTGACAGTTTTACCCATCACAAGTGGTTTTAGGTGCACCCTTGTATGGTGCTGGCTGGAAAAGCCTTCACAAAGCACTTACATTGAATCAGCATCTAGGATCATGGTGTGTACCGATCCTCCACAAAGATAAACAGATCTGTTGTTATATGCATTTTGGAATTATTATTTACTTTCTAAATTATTTTTTAAAATAATTTTTAATCCTTCAGGCACTTCAGCTGCCTGCTGAAATCAGAACAGCAGTCGTATTTGTAATCTAAAAGTGGCAGGAAAACACACGTTTTCATGTTTTCCCCATTTTGTTAAAAAATCTTATACTGTTTTGGTATCTAAAACGGCGCCACAAAAGATGTTCATAATGAACTATGCCTACCCCTACCTTACGTGCTGACACTTGCGTGAGCTACAGAAGCTTAAAAAGGTGAATCATTTATGGAAAGCAGATAGCTTAATGCAGACGTGACAAGCCTGTGCCACTTTATCAATACTGCACAAGTGCCAAGGTGCTTCCCACCTGGCTCGACTCCTCCAGACTCTTGCTTTGTTTACCTTGCAATCTACTAACTTCTAGTTTGGAAAAGCTGCCGCACTTTTTCCTCAAGCAAGACCAATTTATAAAGTAACTTGTGAAAATATTTTAAGATCAAGCTTGACAATGGATTCTGTTCCTGACTGTGCTGTTTTTATATCCTCTATATTGCATTTTGCTTCCCTCTAAGAAAAAAACAGCAGCTTTGTATTTACAATGTAGAGACTTAAAATAGTCTCCCGGTGTTTTTTTACTCTCTATCTTGAAAACAACTTGTGCTAGATTAGAAATCATCCATCTGAAAGAAAAACTGAACCAAATGCAAATTTCTACTTAAAACTTTTTTTTTTTTATTATTTCTATTTTGGTACTGTCCCACTCTTGCTACTCCATGAGACAGAAACCTGGCATAAAGCATTGACTCTTCAGGGAGGAACCCTCTGAGTGGAGAAATTGGGACTACTTATTGCACCCTCCCCTGTTTATTAGGGCATTTTTCATAGTGCTGTACTTAAAATAGTGAGGATGTAGTTGAGGATAAGTTGGAGAAGGACGACTAAAATGCCCTATCTGGTCCCTGTGGATTCACTCTGGGCTGCCTCTGGTCTCCCCATGCAGCTGGCACAGGGGCACACAGAGTACTACTGGAATATACTTAAAGCCGGTGATTTCTATCCCACATGCAGATTTTCATATAACCCCCTAGTTCTATAAAGCCTCATATACAAAGTCCACAGTCACAACAATTAGTCATTTTATGACTGATTTTTGACAAGGGAAATCAAGAAATCCTTTGAGAGCATCTAGTTCTTGACTACAAGTTCCATTATAAGCGCAGCGCAGCGCATAGCGGTGTAAATGGGAATATTACCTCTGCCAATAAAAGGGCACGAAGTTGCCTCTTAACAGATTTTGAGTGTCATTTCTTTTCCATTTTACTTCCTTGACATAAGAAAGTGAATATTTTTCATTAAAAGAACCTTAATGACAAGTACAGAAATTCAGAATTTCATATATATGAAAGGTATGTGGCCGATAATGAAGTGGTTGTAAGATTTCTTTTCTGAGTGATTATTTTTGGTGAATTCCAATAAACAGCAGAAATGTGCTTGTGCACGGATAGCACACTACTGCCAGCAGTTGAAGTCTGCCAGAACTCAACTGGCAGGTGTTTGGAGAAGGGAAGCTGATCTTCCCTTTGCCCTGTCCTAATAAGAGGCTGATCCTGACTGTATTGATAGCCATTGGAGAAATAAGAGTAGGGGTAGATTCTTAGCCTGTGACATCTGGCAATTTTCAGTGGGCTGTGAGATATCCATTAGCAACCTTTGCAAACCTTGGTGTGTTTTGAATGGACCCTCTCTGAGCAGAACAGCTTCCAAAGGCCTCACAGATCCCATAGGCTCCACACGTGGGAAGTCCACACACCAGAATGCATGAAAGCTTCAAGAAAATCAATTAAATCATAGACTTAAAGTGAGAATCCCTCCTCCCCCAAACAAATGCACACCTGCCTTTATAGCCGCATTGCACAGAATAATACTGGCTTAACCACTTCCTCATGGCCCTCTGGTGAGGCTGTTACTTCACCTGGATTTTGGCATGATACTTACAAAAAGTCAAGTCTATTATTTTCCCATACTTGGAAAAATTCTGAGATAAAAAAAAAAGCTATTTCCTTGAGTCTGTGCAAATGTCAGTGTTGAAAACAGTGTCATATATGACTTGAAAAACATGCTTCAGTTGAGCTAAAGTATTTTCAGAAAAATATTTCGAAAAATATTTTCCTGTAAAAACAATTTTAGTGTAAAATTAAATTTCTAAACAAAGTCATATTTCTGAGCTGATTTTGAAAAAGGTGGAAACTGGTTGTTTTAGCAATTTCACCCCCCAGCTCCACCTATTTTCTTTCTTTCTTTCTTTCTTTCTTTCTTTCTTTCTTTCTTTCTTTCTTTCTTTCTTTCTTTCTTTCTTTCTTTCTTCTTCTTTCTTTCTTTCTTTCTTTCTTCTTTCTTTCTTTCTTTCTTTCTTTCTTTCTTCTTTCTTTCTTTCTTTCTTTCTTTCTTTCTTTCTTCTTTCTTTCTTTCTTTCTTTCTTTCTTTCTTTCTTTCTTTCTTTCTTTCTTTCTTTCTTTCTTTCTTTCTTTCTTTCTTTCTTTCTTTCTTTCTACTTTTTCTTCCTTTCTCTCTCTCTCTCTCTCTCTTTCCCTCTCTCTTTGTCTCTCTCTCTCTTTCTCTTTCTCTCCTTCTCTCTTTCTCTCTCTCTTTCGTTCATTCGTTCGTTTGTTCGTTCGTTCATTCTCCTTGACCTAAAGCATTTGCCACCTCTCCTTTGTTATGGATAGTTTAGTTTGACTACTTCTAATACCATTTGGAAATATATACATGAAGTTGTCTAAATAATATTTTATCTCCTACTGCCTCATGGAGAGCTATCATTCCAGACAGTGAACATCCACAAAAATCAATACTTAGAAGAGTAGAGACCTGCTTATGCTTGCAGATTTACAGCACTTCTAATAATAGCCTTCTGATGTTTGCGCTGCAGGAACTTGCCTGCCTTTTTCTGACTCATGTCACCATGCCGCACCATGCATTTACAGCACTGTTTTAATTTCAGGTAGCAGAGAAGCGGCGTTCACGTATGCCATCATTGCTGCTGGAGTAGCCCATGCGATCACGGCTGCCTGCACGCAGGGAAACCTGAGCGACTGCGGTTGTGACAAAGAAAAACAAGGACAGTACCACAAGGAGGAAGGATGGAAATGGGGAGGCTGCTCTGCTGACATCAGATACGGGATAGGGTTCGCCAAAGTCTTTGTGGATGCCCGGGAGATTAAGCAGAATGCGCGGACGCTCATGAACCTGCACAACAACGAGGCCGGGCGGAAGGTAAGTGCCCCGCTCCCTGCTGTGGCCACCTGTGGCCTGGCCCCGGGCCGGACCCCATGCCCTGCGCCAGCGCCGATGTCCGCATGGTACCATAGGCAGTAGGCACCTTTGGAAGTTATACACGCTTGTTGGGCCATCTATCCATCAAATATTTGTCTAAATGTTACTCTTTGCGATTGTAAAAAGAAAAAGCAAACAAACATTTTATCTGGAAAGTGAAATGGTTCTGATGACAAAACACTTGCCTGCTACCGTGTGGGTGAGTGGGATTCCCGTCAGGTTCAGACATGAACTTCTCACTCATTTGAAAAGGGATCATTTTCAACCCAACTGTTTAAACCTCGTTCTTTGTGTGAGGACTACCTCTACAAGGAGAAAAATACTTTAGCAAGCCGACTGCAGACTGACTCAGTGTTAGGCACGGGGCTGATCGCTTCGCACGGAAGCATTCCTGCCCCTTCCCCGTGCCTGGGAGCAGGTAGCTGCGAGCAGCTACTGCTGGGGAAGACGGGTTCAGCAGCCTCCAGCACACACATTTCCTGGTGGCTCTGGGAACCAACTGTACCGGCTTTCTGGTCAGAGGCTTGCTGATGGTCGGGGTGCTGCTCTGAGGCATGCAGGCTGTGCTGTGCTGCACACCTCGTGGCAGTGCCAGGGCCGGCGGCTCTGCCTTGCCCCACCCAGAGCAGCCAGGCCATGGCTGCATCCCCGTCCAGCATGGCCTTGAGCAGCGAGCATGGGAGTCACCCTTTGCTGATGGCATCTCCGCAGTGAGCGCGCTTCCTCCTGCTCTCCTAGCTCTCCATTCTGCCTTTGCCACTGTTCGCAGCCCTGTGCATTAATCCTCATTGCAGCATTATGTTAGTGTGACTTAGAAGCAAACGGGAGAAGGAAGTTAGGAAGAGCCATTAATTTGTGGATACTATTTTTGTTGTGGTAATTACCTGTAGGCTCTGAGACATCTCCACTTAGGTACATGTGCTGCAGCCAAGCAGATGGTATTGGAGAAAAGCCATTTCCAACCCAAAAAAAGACTAACCTTTTCTTTTTTTGTTTCATGCCGCAGTAGGAGTTTTATAGGTCAGATTATGGATTTTAGACTGCCCAATATCCCAGCTGCCCAGGTCTTGCTCTCTGGTGCAAACATGGTACTTCAAAACCGTAGCAGAATTAGCACTGAACTCTGAGCATAACTCAGGGACTGACCTTTAATATTTGTGAATCAAATTATCTCAGACTCACTGACTTTATTACTTGGCTTCTGGTAGCACAAAGGCGCATACTGTAGAGCCTGGTAGGACATCAAGGCCCACAGTCTGCTCTGCTAGACAAGTACAAATCCACAGGAATGAATAACAGCATAGGAGTTTCACCTTTGTGGGAGAGCTACTTTCCTGAAAGGTCTGCTTTTATTTGGTAGGTGACGTCAGTAAAACATTCCCAAGAAATGACACACCAGCCTATGAGGACTGCAAATACAGATGGAAGTAGCTTCTGTCTTGGAAAATTATTTCAAATGTGACGTTCAAAGATATAGACAAAAAAAAAAAAGTTTATTTTAGTATTTCATTGTATCTTTGGCTCCATTATCTCCCAGGTATGGAGTAGGGAGGAGGCCCTGGAGGTGGCTGGTGGGAAGGCAGAGCATTCAGCAGCCTCCCTGGAGGACGTGAGCTCCTTGTGTTTCTCACCTAGATGTGCACAATTTGCTGTCCTAAAAGAATATGCCTGGAAGATTCAGCTCTGCGCATTGTTATCTGGGAGAACAGTGGCTGTGCTATCTCTGGCGATCTGCCATTTCTCCAGCAGGCTCAGGAACTGTTCTGATCTAGAGATATTTCTACGCTTCTTCCTGCATCCCTTACAGAGAAAAATTACTGATCTTTGTTTGAACAAAGAAAGAGTAACATGACTGAGAAGAGGCATGTTACTCCACCAACCTGCAGAGAATGAATAAATGATGTTTTTGCTAGAGAGATTCCTTTCAGGCTTTGCTCTCATGTGAAAGATCATGCTATTTACAGACAATTGGCAGAGGGAGGCCATTACAGATATTTGGCAAGCTGGGTCTCACAACCTAACCCTTTCACAACAAAGACTGTCTTGTTTTGAGGTGGTACTCTCCCTTTTGGAGCAATATGGATCTTATCAGCCTCTGCACAATCTATTCTTGGTGGCTTTCCTCTGGGCTATAAATTCTTGTCTAGTTTTACTTGCCCATGGCTAGGTTTTTGATGATATTTATGCACCTAGGAGACAGACTGGCACCTACCGGGCTTCCAAAAATAAACTGGATGTTCAGTTCTCATTGATTTGTTATCTTCACCTGTAGGCACCGCTACTTTGTTCAAAAGTCTGCCCCTTCTGCTTCTTTGGTCTTGAAATGTGAAACAACACCCTGTGCTGTGCCCCAGTCCCCCAGGTGCTCACGGCTGACCTGTGAAAAGGTACTTTTTAGAATGACTCTAGATGCAGGTAATTCAGGATGCACCCTGGTGAATCAAACACATGTTGGTATGTAGTAAACACCAGTCAATTCATCTGTCCCATCTTGGTGAGCAAGAGATGACAGACTTTACTCTGCAGTAGGAGGTGGTCTTGCCAGGGCAACTGGGTATGGGAACGACTTCATAGTGTAAACCAGCAAAGAGACACCAGGAAAAGCGATCCAGACTTTTTGGAGGTCTCAATTCAAGACTTTCCACTTTAATAGTCTTATTTTACCTCTGCTGTCCATGGTGTCAACAACTGTCTCTCTGAACCTACTGAATACCTGACCCTGGCAGAGCAACAGCATGAGCATCTGCCAGCTCTGAGAAGTTAAATGAAAATTAGCCATGTCAAGCCTGGAGGATTTTAGTGGCCATTGGTGGATTAAAACAAACAAACAAACAAACAACAAAAACCAAACCAATCCAACCAAACAAAAACCAAACGTGGCTTTTCCCTTTCCTGAAAGCCTTCTAGAGTAATGCTGAAAACGTGCTGGTGCACACACTCAGGAGGCAGTGAGCTGGGCTCCCACCTGGCTCAGCGTGAGCAGTGTCAGCACCCCCAGCAGCTCCCGCAGCCAGACTAGGGCCAGAGGTGCCAAAGGCTCCTGCAGAATGAGCACCCGTGGTGCCTCCACTGCTGGGGTGAGGCAGGTAACAGTTTTCCTTACTGTTATAAACCAGACGGGGCTCTAGCTCTCCATTTCTCCCCATCTAGGGCCAGCTGCTCTCCCCAAGCCACCTGGGCTCTGTTTTGTAGCACATACACATGACTTCGGACTTCCCCAGCCACTGGGAGGGGAAGGGGCAGAGTTCAAAGCAGGGGTTGCATACACCCTACAGAACTGGCCGCAAGCAGCCCAAGAAGCCTCACATCATTTGTCAAACCTACTGGAGAGCTGCTATTTCTGACCTCCAGAAATGGAGTCTAGGGTGTCTTTCCTCTTTGAATTAGTATTTCCTGAAATGCTGATTCACTGCAGGAAGAAGCAAGCAGTACAGGGAGAACAGGAGGAGAATTCATAATAGCTGGGTCAGAAAAGAGAGATAAAGCTTGAATTAATTTAAAGGCATAATCCTGATTTGCCCTGCAAACTTCCATGTGAGGGGCTATAATTACAAGACTGAGTTGTCTGTTAGCAAATTTGTCTTCTCAAGTACAAAGTTAATTAAATTACTGTAAGTAACACAATAACGTATGTCTGAGAGATATTTATGCTCCAGGAAATAAAAATGTTATTCTTCCAGTTATTCTGTTAAAATAGCAAAGCAGGTACTGAAAGGCTCTACCTATTTTGACTGGATACTTTTCATTTTGACAGCACGGCAAGGTACATGACCAGATTGCTCTCTCCTCTCTTTTCCTCTGTGACATTGAAATTCCACGAATGGCATCTTGCATCAGCGTTACATCATATTAAGTATAATGCAATATTATGAGTCATTGTTATAAATCATGGGCACAGGCTGCATTAGAAGGCTTTTGCAATTCAAGAGCACATCAAGGTGGATTTTTATTCAGCATCTCTCTTTGGAGGCATACATAGGTGCACTAACTTTGCAATGCATCTTCACCCTCTGAATCTGTAGCATTTCAGCTTTCCTGTTCAGCTCGAGGGCTTGTAGGAGTGCCAAACATGCCTAATAGGGCTGCTGCAAATACCAAGCAAAACTACCAGAAACCAGAAGGTGTTTCTAAAGTGGAGCAAGCAATGGTCATAACAATCTGAAGTGTTTAGTATTTTATCCTTTAGGGAAGGCTACAATAATGTTGAGGTGAAACACGGGCACTTGGAAAACATGGAGTTCAGGAGTTTTACCAAGCCATTCTGTAAAGCCTACTTTTCTGATGCTCAGCCTTTTTCTTGCTAGCATCCCTGACCTCAGAAGGAGATTGCTGCCACAGGACTTCCCTGCTTGCATAGTGTGAGATCACCACGCCACTGCAAGAATTTAACTGTCCTCTAGAGGAGACAGCTATTTCTGCTTCAGGATACGTTTTCCTTTAACTAACCTATTAGCCTGACGACAAGAAGCAGAGCAGAACACAAGCTCTTGCAGATGAAACATTTGAAAGACTGTAAGCACTGGCACACTAGAAAACAGGCTAATAAAAGAGGCTACCAAGCATTTTATCATTTTCCTGAGTATAGGAGTGAAATTCTGGGGGTTTATTAGTTCTGCCTGAGTTAAGCCTCGATGTGCATGAAAACATGGCCCTGCTCCTGCTGGTGCCCAGGACTGGGTCCAGCAGTGAGGGAGGGCAGCCTGAGGCTCTGGGCTGTGCCCAGGGCTGGCTCCAGCCTCCTGGGGGCACCTCGGCAGCCCGGTGGCTCTAGGTGGGAACTCTGTTCCCAGAAGACAACCAGGGATGCTTAATGCCTGGCTAGTGCAGTGCTAGCAGGGTACGGTCAGTATGCCAGGAGGACACAGTCCCACAGTAGAGCCAAATGATTCCTACCCACATCCATACACCAGCCGAATTTGGCCCCAAGAGATTTCTGCACG